GCTTCTAGTCCCCACACGAGCCACACTTAACTACGAAAAACCAGCCCGTTCTCCTGATGGCTTGAGAGGTGCTCTGGTGTCCACCCTCGACCTCAGGGAGCAGACCTCACACCACCCTGCCCTCCCTCCCTGCCAGCCCTCCCCCTGTGTTCTGCAGGCTGTGTCCCCAACCTGCTCCCAACCCTGCAGGGGTCTCGGTCACTGGGCCAGCTCTCCCACCACGTGCTTCTCATCTGGGACATGAAGGAGATGACATGAGACAGCTGTTTCCGAAAGGCCGCCCCAGTCCCCAAGCCCCTTCCTCCCCGGCCCAGTACCCCCTCCTCTGACATCTTCAGTCTTCTCTTCCGCACAGCACAAGCTCCCCCGACAGGCTGTCGACACCCGAGACCACCCTCTCTCGGGCAGGCCTCCCTGTCACCTCCTTTCCCGGCAACGTAGCACTTGCTGCCACCTTCCTGCTTTACTCCTGTGCTCTTCGACACTCATCCCTGACTCAGCCCCTCTGCTCCAGCACCCACAGCTGCTCCTCTCCCAAGGTGGCAGCCACCCAAACTGTGCAGCTCACATCTCAGCCAATCCCTTTCTCAGACCCTGGCGCCCTTCCTCCTGTGACAGAGCACCACCCGTCCTGCCCCTGAGCACACCCACCGGCTTCTCAAGCAAAGCACCCGGGAAGGTTAAAGCACGCCTGTCCACGCCACAAGAATGAAAGACCATGGGGGCCTCTTGATAATGGGAAATTCTGCAGACGCAATATTTTACTGGCTTGAAAAAGCCAACACTAATCAACTCCATGCTCCTGCCTTTAGAGTGGAAGGGGGAGAAAAGGAAAGACACACTAATGACAAGATACAGGCCACTGTCTTGCCCATGGGCGAAACGGGCTCAAGGGCTGAAGGTGCAGGCGTGGGCAGCAGCGGTCGCTACTGCAGCCGGTTTGTTCACAGCAGCCTGGGCGTCTGCCACGGTGTCAGCGAAGCAGGAAAGTGAACCATTTACAGGGTGACAAGAATCAAACACCCACCACTCTATTTCCATACAGCCTCCCTCGAGAAACCCACTGCGCACGTGGGGGGCCCACGGAGTGGTCATGGACAACTGGAGACGCATCTCTTCACACGCAGGCGAGTGGTGCAGGAAGATCGCGTTTGCGTGCAACTCCAGGGCTGCCACATCTGCTCACTTAATTCCTGCATTTGGCTGCATGTTAATCAGACCTCAACTAAAACCACAACAGGTGGTGTCCTGGTCCCAGGTCCAGATTCAGGCTTCCCTTTAGGTCAAATGTTCTATTAGCTCCTACATTCCATTCTGAGAATGATTTTAGTCATTAATTTATCAAAACTGTATTGGAAATTCAGGCCCTGCTCCAGGCACTGGGCTCACAGCATTGAGCAGAGTCAGAAATCTGCTCTGTTAGCGGAATTCCATGGCGAACGAGTCCTCTTCCAAAAAGAAACAAGTTTGTAAAAATGATCCAGTAGCACTCCCAAGAATGTCAAGGGAATGATGGAACTACTGGTGCAGTAACATTTTTCAGAAAATAATCCTTTCTGGCACCTAAGGGAAAACTACCCACCTACTATTTTATAAAATGAAATTGCTTTCTTCTGATAGTTTTTTCCAAGATGGGCTCAAATTTCAGTACTTTGCTGCCCCAATTGATCCTATCTCAGGAATACAGTAAACAAAAAAGGAGAAACACCATTTGATTTTTTATAACAATAACTATACCGCAAAAAGTAGAACTCAAAGAATTTTTTTTCATGTGGTCTATTACAGATGACAAAATACCTTTCTTTTGTCTTCCTGTGGAAGCAAAGGAGCAAAGCCTTTCTCAAACATTTGTTCTGTGTCCCTCTCCACTACCACCTCCTCTTTATTTCGTAGCAACTTTAAATCTGTGTTTAGAACATTTATTTCTAGCATCAGTGCATAAATTCCATGCTATTCCAAGTGTATGGGGTTTAAAATTTGGTGCTGAGAGTGTATGTTAAGGCAAAATGGATAATAATTCTAACTTATAATTTTAGGAGACATTTAAAAATCTTGAAGCTGTCACACTCATAGCCGGTTCTCACCATGGTTTTTTGGAGTGTTTGGCACCTCCCAACCCCTGGGCTCTGCCTGAGCTAGAGACTGAAGTCCAAGCTGCTGGGACCAGGGACTGATTCTCACCTGCTGCTACCCCCTCCCCCACCATCTTGGCTCGGAGCTGTGACACCTTGGGGTGACTGCTGCGTCTCTGCTGGCCTCTGCAGTGGGGCACTCGGGCTCCATTAAGCACTGTTCAAGTGTTGACAAGGACCTCAAACCACTTCCTGCAGAAAGCCCTAGCTCCCTGTTCAGCCCCCGGTCCCATCACTGCCACAAGCACTGAGCAAATGCCTCAGTGTTCACAGCAGAATATTAACACTCTTACAGCCTCATGTGGTTTCCACAGGTGTAGGTTTCTCTTTAATCAGCAGTGAAGTTATCTGGGTTTTAGATAATCATTGAACTGTCCTGCCAGCCAGCTCCTGTTAGAGGTCATGCTAAAAGAATGATATGTAGGGAAGGAGGCCTGACCCTGGAGTTATCAAAGGCACTTACAACCATTTGCTGAATCAAATTCAGCATTTGAAGTCAGCCAGAAAGAGACCCAGATCTTCCAGCATCATTTTGCAGATGAGCATTTTACTTGAAAGCACTTCATGTGGACATGAGCGGAACCAGCTTTGATGCAGGGGCCACCCAGGGCCCACACTTCAGCCTCACTTTCTGCAAATGAGGAACTGAGGCGTAAAAGCCACTAAGGCTTTGTGGATTCTTTGCAGAAAGAGATGATGAGGGAGATAATGGCGATAAGGTGCAGACATACAGGAGACATCACTTAAGAAAAGAGTGCCTGAAAAGCAGCCAGCTTTCTATTCAGGTGGGAGAGTTGTCACTAAGTAAGTGGGACCTCTGGGCTATTTCAGTGAAGACATGCATTGCCCAGATCTCGGAGTTCTAAGACTCCTTTCTACATCTGTCTGTTCCCTGTGGCTGCAATGTAACAGTTCTGTATCCACCTGGTCTAAACACTCCCAAGGCTGCCAGAAGCCAAACTCTACTAAGAGGAGGCACGGATGCTCTCTGGGTCACGGGCACCCAGTCAGCAATGATACTGCGCCACCCTTTCTGGTCTGGTTTCAGGTGTAAGTATCGTTTATCTCTCAAATCTTCTAACACCCAGGAATTTTCTTCCATTCCGGTCGGATGCATGCTGTTGCTAAGCAACTCGGACAAGTCACATCTAATGATACTCTCCACACCGTCTACAAGTGGGTGTGGTTAAGACAAACAGGGTGACAAAGTCACTTCAAGTTACAACTGGAAGAGGCTAAAGATAGGTCATACACAGACCATTTAAAAAACTCTGTTATGTTTTAGTCCAGCATGTTGACATCAGATCATGCCTTGACTTTGTTACTTACAGGTTCAAACCATCTTCACAGAAACCTAGTGTGTGTGCAAGCTCAATGAGATGAAACACCAGCAAACCATAGCCCAGTGGAGGACTTCGTACATGCCCTGTTCTCCAAGGGCCGATTTGCACATTAATTCTGATGGGTACAAAATCCTGTAAGAGGGCAGATGAAGACCTATGTTCACTGCTGCGATGGATCTGTCAGTTAGGAAAGATGACTGGGACTTACACTGCAGCCACCCTTGAGTTTTCCTCTGGTCTTTAACCCCATCTTCTCTAATGAGGTGTAAAGCAATTCTTTGATACATGTGTGTGTGTTTGTCTCTTTTTGCTCCCAATCCTTTTTAAATTCAATGATGTTGAAGACTCCCCCTCTTTCTGCCTGGCCAGCCAGAACTACAACGAAAAGACTTCTAACATTGACCTCTGAATCACAGTGTCACACGGATTGTAGTATTTCTATAGATGACCTTTGGAGTCACATGACTTGCACTGCCCAGTTAAGCATTAACTGGGGATTCAGTGCTCTGGTAAAAGGAAAATATCTGCAAATAGTCACGTTCTCCCCAGTTCTGGCACTGCAATTAACTACCACTCCACACACCACGGTGAACTACTCTGTTGGGCTGTAATCCTCGTCTTTCACGACAAACAAGTGACACAAAAATGTATGGTGCAAGGACTTTGCAGAGTGAAAACCGATGGAGGAGGCAGCCAAGGTCCGCGTTCATTGCAGAGTACCTCCCTGTCTAATCTCCAGGTCCCGGGTTCCATCACCGACTGGGCACAGATAATTGCTGGTGGGGGTCCAAAGAAAGCCCACTGCCTTCTCCAAATTTTCCCACAAAAGCTACAGATTCCCTCTACTCCTTGGAAAGTGTCCAAGCAGGAAAAGGTAGTCGGAGTTGGTGGTGTAGGGTCTGTATGGCTAGTCTGTAAATGACCAGAAACGTAAGGAACGAATTTGTCTTAATTCAAAAAGGTACAGCTGACAAGACGCGAGGGAGACCAAGACAGTACCCCCTGGCTCTCAGGAGTTCACACAAGGGCAAACAAGTCGCAAATAACTATAATCGGTGCAACAAGTACCATAACAGAGATATGGGGCAGGCAAGGTGGGAGCAGGGACAAGGTGGCAAATCGCTTGGACCCTTCACCTCGAGCGAGACCCCAGCGGGTACCCACGGGCACACTGCTCTTTAGTTTCAAATTCTCCCAACAACTTGTCTTGGGGTCTGGCACAGGAACGTCCCCCAGGCAAAAGAGTCGACTCCCCCTCCTCCCACCAGCCCGCTGGTGCCAACTCTTGATGCCGTCGCCGATGCGGAAAGGGCCGGACGCCCGAGGGGCGCGGGGCCACGCACCGGGCTTGCCTCCCGGGCGTGCTCGTTCCCCGGTAGCCCGCCCTTCCCACCATGCCCGCCCCCCGCTGCTCCCTGCCTTCAGTGACCCTCGCCCCGGCCGGCTTGGCGCCCCACCGCAGGCCCGAGCCCCGGCGGTCCCGGCACCCGCGGCCGCGCCACCCTCCCCCAGTCCCTCGCCTCACCTCGAAATGGAGCCGACGGCGGCTGAGGGCGTCCTGGGGCTCAGCGCATCCTGGGGGCGCAGGGAGCCGGGAAGTGGGGCCGCGCCGAGCTCGCAACGAGTTATGTAACCGGCAGGGGCCGCAACCGGGACGGAGGCGGCGGCCCGAGGCACTTCCGCCTCCCGGGCCCGGTGGCGGCGCAGCCCGGAAGCCCATTGGCCACTGCCCCACGTGACACCGCCCTCCCTGATGCCGCCACCGCCATTTTAGGACCGGGCAGGCCTCGCGCGAAGGTGGCCGTGGGAGCTTGCTTCCTGCACGCACTGTCGGTGGAGGCGCAGAGAGGTAGCCGGCCGGACCCCTGAGCGCCCCCAAGCCTGGTGCGCGTGGACGCTGGTGGCGCGGTTCTCGGGTCGAGGTGCCCTGGGCTCTTCCGAGCGCCCCACGCCGGCTCACACACTGGAGGCTCACTCGCGGCCCTCCAGTCACCGGCTGATGCTTCCTTAGCTTACGTTTGGGGCTTAATGTTTACATCCCAGCACCTGGCCTGGCCTCGAAGCTTGGCAGACGCCTGAATAAAGCTGTACGAAGTTCGCTCCCGGCCCCACAGTCCCAAGCTGGCACCACCCTGCGACAGCGCCAGGCGTCCTCAGCTGACAGGAAAGTCCGATTTCGGCAGAAATGCAGTTTAGGGCTGCCACCGTGTAAAATAGGCAAGGGTCAGTTGTGTTCAAAGTTGCAGGGCGCTCTATAATGCAAGCTCTCACTCAAATTTTGTTACGAGGGAACCCGTGTTGAGCAAAAACATTAAAGCAGAAATTTATTCTCTGCTTTCAAATAACTACAATGGTCCACATAACCAAAGGATGGAATAAGAAGAACCTGTGTACAACCAAAGGCTAAAATGATTAACCCTAAAAAAGATTTAATTCATATCCAAGAGAATAAACCTTACCACAGATTAAAATGTTTTTGTACCCTAAATAAAGTGGCACTATTTTAGAAATGTTAAAAGCATATTCCCTCTGGTTACAAAAGGTAGAAGAGTATAAAAAAAAAAAGAGGCATATTCTTTCAACATTTTGATAAGGAAAAAGTACCTAATAATTTTAAAAGTTTAAAAGGTAACTGGTGGGTCGGGCGCGGTGGCTCA